GAGATGGATATTTAGTAAAGAGTCCACAGGTAAAAATGCTTCTGTGCAATTCTGTTTCTCATAATATACATGTGTTACTTTGATTCCCAACATTTTAAGAAGTAAATGAATATACTTAGGGACTGTAATAGGTACATGGAAGGAAGAGTTCCAGGTTCTGTGAGAGGCTGCAAAAGGAGAGCCCCGAGTGAAGAGGAGGCCTCTTTGAGGGCTTGATGTTCAAGCTGAAAAGTGAGGAAGCCAAGGGACAGCAGGGCTTGAGAGAGAGGGAGGGAGGGAAGGAGAGAGGGAACTGGCTTGTTGGAGAGGCAGGGCGGCGGCAAGGTGGCTGGAGCCTTGCAAGCACGGCCTGGAGGTCATGCAGGGCCCTGCGGGTCTTAAGTGCAGTGAAGCCACTGAAAGACTAATGCACGTTGGTATCCAGTTTTGGAAGTCCACTCTGGCTGCTATGGATTATACAGGGGATTAGAGGGGTCAGGCGTGCGAGTAGGGAGCCCAGTTAGGATGTGGGTAGCTGTCCAGGGAGAAGCGATGGGTGCTTAAGCTAAGTGGTAGGAGCAGAGAGAGAGAGAAGTAGCTGCATTCAAGACACTGAGCAGATAGAACAGGGAGCTCTGCCCCGTGGGCTGGATGTGGGGTGGCAGAGACTCCTGTCCAGGTAGACTTCTAGGTTTCTGGCTTGAGGAGCTGAGCTGGGAATGGGAGAGGCAGACCGGGTGTGGTTGAGGAGGAGAAAGATAACCTTCATTTGTGGTGTGTGCAGGTGGAGTGCCTGAAGTCCATCGAGACAGAGGCATCCCGCAGGGGACCAGATATGTGGGCTGGAGTGGAGCACACAGCCTGCGTGATGCAGGCATTGCCCCAATCCCATCTGAGGTCTCCTCTCAGGCCCTGCAGAAGCTAGGCTGGTGTTGGCCTGGAAGGACCTTCATACTCAAGGAGACAGTTATCAGCCATGCAGCACATGACACTGAAGGTCTTGTGACATGGAGCTCCCACCCCACCCCAATTCTTGGTACTGGTCAGCACTTATCTCCACCAAAGCGGATGGCCAGGGAGCCAGTCCTCCCTCCTCTTCCTCTGACCTTCTCAGCTGCCCATGGCAAATTTACCCACCTGGGAGCCAGAGCTTGGAGAGAGGTAGCCAGAGAAAGTCCACTGCTTCCTCTGGCCAAATCTGATGTCCCATGGGTCCTGGGCTCTGGCTTCTCCCAGGACCCCTGTCTGCTGGCCACATGGGGAATTCTTATGAAAAATCTGCACCCCGTTTGTGTTCCTCTCCACCAAAATACAGCCCCTGTTTGGTTAATTTCTATTTTGTGGCTTATCTGGAAGCTGTTAAAACAGACCCCGGGGGACCCTCTGCAGTGATTGTTCCATATCTCATTATCTTTCCTGAACCCGATTGTTAGCTCAGATTTTTCTGATCGCTAAGCTGCTGTTCGTGATGAGTTGTGTGCCATTAATGCCAGCTGGTTCCCTTAAACAGGACCCACCATGCCAGGGAAAGTGAGCTGGCATTCAGAGCCACCAGCCACTTGGCTTTTTAATTTTAATGGGCTCCACCAAATGTTCCAGGCCAAAGGGTCCCCAAGGAACCAGAACAGACAGGCTCCCAACCCAGTCAGCAGCCCACCCTGGTTCCTTCCCAGGCTGTGGCCATCCTAGCTGTTGGGACACTAAGGTCTGGATTGGGGGCCTCCCCTGTATTCATGCCTTCTTGCCACCAGGCACATCCTTGATGAGTGGACAGCGTGACCTCAATGGCTCCTAGCGAGCTTGCAGGCACACATGTGCCTGGGCCTTCTCCCTACTTTGCTGGTCCCAGCCCCTTCCCACATGCTCAGGCATGTGGGCTGCGCACTTAGAAAAGTGTGTGTGCCTCACTAAATCTCACCCGTCCATGTTGGGAAGACCCTGGTGGCTTCAGGGAAGGGGAGGTCAGAAGAGACCTGGGACCCAAGAATTGTTTTTCTCTTCTTTCCTCCTCCCTAGCCTGGGCTCCCACCTGGGGTGGGGGAGACAGGCTGGGTCATGACTCTGGGCTGTGCCAATCCTAGCCGGTGGGAAGAACAGCCAGCCAAGGAGGGGAAGGCTTGAGGGCAGTGGGCATGTCTGAGTGTTTGCTACAACCAATGATCACTATTCCTTCCTGCCCTCCCACCACCCTCCAGCCTGGCCTGCCCTCGAGAGGCTGCCAGGGAAGTGTTCCAGCTCCCTGCTGGCTTCTCAGAGGACTCCTGCTTCCCATTCCTCCAGCACTTCCTGCATCTTTCCAAACAAATGTGGAGGGTTTTGAACCCAGACCTTCTATATTCTAGCTGCCGAGGGCAGAGGTGGCTCAAGACCCCTATCTTCTCTGCCTGGAGCTGCCTTCCAGGCCTCTGGGCCCCAGCCCCAGGCTGGTCTTTTCAGGGAGGCTTTTGCTTTGCAAACAGCCAGTTTTAAATGGCTTGTAGTAATTTTAAAAAATGGCCTGTCAGACATTCCCCATTGAGATGGAAGACAGTTGGAAAGTAAATAGCACAGTGGCTAAGAGCAAGGCTTTGGAATTAGCAGACTCCGGGTTTGAATCCTAGTTTCACCTGCCTCATAATAGTGTCTGTCCTTGGGCAAAGTTACTTAACCTATCTGAACCTGTCTGAACTTCTCTGAATCTGTTAAAAGGGGCAACACGCCCTATCTATAAGCCTGCTAGTGGGGATTTAATTAAGATGTTTCACACGGTGTGCCCAGCACTTGGCCTGGTATCTCCACATGCCCCTTTCCTTTTCCTCACGGCTAACGCCCGCCTGTGTGTCCTCTGGCCTCCCTCCACAATGGCACCTTGTAGGAACATATTCCCTGGTATTTTGGGGGGTTGGGGGAACCATTTCTGAGTCACAGAGGTAGTCACTTACTGCTGAAAGTGGGGAGACCTGGCCTTGGTGAGTTCCATCTGAGCAGCAGGGGCAGCCTGGAAGCAGGGCCACAGGGCCCAGGGTAGGCGGGCAGCACCCCCCAGCCTGCCCCCACCCCCTCCACTGAAGTGTGTCCAAGCTGCCGCACGTCTCTGTGCCTCCCTGCCTCCCCTTGAGCAGGCAGAGAGGATAAGAATTTGACTCTGACCACCAGCTTGAGGCTTCAAATGGAGGCCAGGCACCTGAGGGCCCAGGCCGGCTTTGCCTGGCAGCACTCTGGCCCTGCGGGGTCCTGGACTGCCCAGGGAATGGCGGGCTGGCACTTCTTATCTCCCCAGGCCTCACAGTTATGGCCTGGGCTGGGCCATTCGTGCCATGCCTGCCCTGATTTGACTGCTGCGGGCACCCTGCAGCCCTGGAGGCTTTCCCAAGGTTCTTCATCTTCCCCAACAACCCAGAAGGTTGAGGCCAGAGCCAGGGTGGCCTGCTGAACCACCAGGTGTGCCAGGCCGAGAGCAGGCTGTCCCCAGCCCCATCAGGTCCACAGTCCCACAGGGGAGGGCTGGCCCTGGCCTCAGTTTGGGGGAGCAAAGGCCTCTATACACCCATCTTCTGGTCTGGCCACAGACATCCTCTTTTGTCTCCCCGTGCCTGTGCGCATGCGGTTTCCCCACCGAAACGTCCTTCACCCCAGCCGAACTCCACCTTCCTCTCCTCCAAGAAGCCCCTCTTCCAGACTTTGCTGATCTCTCCATCCATTCACTTCTTTGTTGTTTGTTGCATTTATTCCTCAGCCACTGCTTTACTGAGCATGTACTCTGTGCCATCCCCTGCCCTAACGGCCAGGCATACAAAGATGAAGAAGGCCCAATCCCTCCCTCTCAGTCCAGCGGGGGCATTAGACCCACAAACAGGCTACTGAGTGCTGGGAAGGAGGGGCTGGTGATGTGCAAGGGAGGGACTTTCTGCCTGGGAGAGGTGACGTCATTCTTACATAGATTCATTAATTGAGGCCTCTTACATGCCAGGCTCATGCTAAGCACTGTACATACATTCTTATAACAGCCCTGGGGTGCTGTAGACGTTACTGTCCCTTTTACAGATAAGGAAACTGAGGCAGAGAAAGGTTAAGTGACTCCCAGTGTTAAAGGCACTGGGAGGTGGCGCTCAGAGCTGGGCCTTAAAGAAAAGGCGTAGACTGAGCAGGGGAAGGAAGGGGTTTGGGGCATAGAGACCAGCAAGGGCAAAGGCCCTGAGGTGGGAAATGCACATAACGTTTCAGTTGACTGAACTCACGGAGAGAGAACGTGGGTGTTGGGGGAGTGGGGAAGGGAGGTTATGGAGGCCACAACTGCTGCATGGAGGAGACTCACCTACTTGCACAGGCCATGGGGAGGAGCTGTCATGGCGGACAGGATTGGATCTGTGTTCTAGGAAGATGAGGGTCGGCATGGGGGATGGACTGGAGTGGGAGTGCCCAAGGCAAAGGCAAGGGGGCCCAGGTGTCCTGCGCTGGGTGAGGGGAGCTGGAGTCTGAGTGGAGATGGACAGAGAGCCCAGGATGTCCGATGCAGTCCCGTCCTGCTCTGGGCGGCTCTGCTTACCTCTCCAGTCACCTGTGAGTCCCCCTGTGCTGAGTCCTCCCTGTCTGGCCAGGCCCATGCCTGGGACACCAGGAATGTGGTACTTAAGAAGCTGGGTGGGAATGAGGGGCATTCTATACTTCACTTATTTGCAGATTATAGATTCTTCTAACAGCAACCTCCACACCATCCCTTTTCCTCTCCCCAGAGAGGCAATAGGTGTGCACGTGTGTGCGTGTGCGTGTGTGTGTGTGTGTGTGTGTGTGTGTGTGTGTGTGTGTAGCTGATGCTTTTCCTCTCCCTCTTTCTCATGGGCCGGTTAACTGGGATGACTGGGCAGTGATGCTTTAAGGAGCCACACTGGGGCTCGGCAGCATGGTCAGGCTGAGGATGTAGGGTCTGGAGCGCAGTTCCAAGGCAAGATGGTGCCCCTCGCTCTCTGCTCTTCCCCCAGCCTGCCCCTTCCTCCCATGGGCCGCTGCAGCACCACACACTCTTTCTGTTTTCTCTTTCTAAGGTGGGCCTTAATGTCCTGGTTCAGAAAGCCAACAAGTTCACCCCGGCCACCCGCCTCCTCGTCCAGAGATTTGTGCCGTTCCCCGCCGTAGGTAAGCCTTGCACAGTGAGGAGTGTCTGTGCATGTGTGCACAGGCATGCATGTATCACCTGTGGGCGTGTGGGGCGGCCGGGCTCTGGAGGAGCTGGACGGCCCCTCCACACCTCTCCTGACGCTGGGTGGGGGGTGTCTCCTGGCTGGGGCGACTGGAACAAAATGTGTGTAGGTAGAATAAAGGGTGACTGGGGTACCACGGACCAACCCTGTGCCTGAGATTCTGTTTTTAGCACAGAGATTCTTAACCGGGGATCCCTAGACCCCCAAGGGGTCAGTAGATAGAATGCAGTAGATCTCGTGGACTTGGTTGGGGAAAATATTTATACTAACCTCTAACTGAAATTTAACATTTCCTTCCATCATGAATGTAGGCAGCAAATCACAGTAATGAGCAGGACTTGTGTCTGTCGCCAGTAGGAATCACAGGTATCTTCATGCCACACTACAGTTGTTACGAAGATCTTAAAATATCATTTATGCGCAACACTAATTCAAAATTATATTTCATAGATCCACCAGTAGATCTTGGCTTTTAATTAGTTTAAAATCACATCTATTACTGTATCACAATTGAAAACATATTTTGATAACTTATTTCAATATAATCCCTTTGTAATCCTACATATTTTGTTTTATGCACTTAGAGACATTATTTGGGGAGGGGTGCATAAGGCCTCACCAGCCTGTCACAGGGGTTCCTGACACAGAGGAAGGTTTAAGCCTCCCGCTAGTCTGGTGCTCCAAGCCCTTGTGTGGTGGGCCCTTTACGTTTCAGGGGCCTCCAATCATATTCAGGTAACTGTGCGTGCACGTGTGTGTGTGTGTGTGTGCATGTGTGTTTGTGTGTGTGTTTGTAGGGGCTTTCGCCTGCTTTCAGCAGAGTCTTTGCTGGTCTTGGAGCCCTGAGCTTATAACAGGTGCCCCAGGCCTGGGCCCTGAGATCCCACAAAGCCCAGCCTGGCTCTTAAGAAGCCTACACCTTATTTGGAGAAAGGGCACAACAGTGAAAAATTTTTTTTTTTTTTGTGGTACGCGGGCCTCTCACTGTTGTGGCCTCTCCCGTTGCGGAGTACAGGCTCCGGACGCACAGGCTCAGTGGCCATGGTTCACGGGCCCAGCCGCTCTGCGGCATGTGGGATCTTCCCAGACCGGGGCATGAACCCATGTCCCCTGCATCGGCAGGTGGACTCTCGACCACTGCGCCACCAGGGAAGCCCTGAAAAATTTTTTAAAAACTAAAAAGAAATACACAACACTAACACTGAAAGAAACACAAGGCTGAGCACCATTAGTCATCAAAAGAGAAGGAGAAGCAAGTGCTTGAACCATGACACTGAGTTCCCCATCTCATGCCAGAAGACAAAGCTGGAGCAGGCCCAGGAGAGGCATGAGGTCCCATTACCTCCCTGGTACCCAGGCTCAGCCTGAAGAGCCAGGCATGAGACCCAAGCTCATGGTCCCAACCCTGTTCTTCATCTCCAGGGCTCAGCTTCCCCATCTGTAAAATGGGGGCACCAGTACCTGCCTTCCTACAGCCTTGAGCTGAGGATCAAATGAGACCACAGACCAGTTCCATTCATAGGAAAGTGCTTTGAAGCACCTGAAAAGCCCCTGTGAGTAGGTGGGAGATCATTATTGAGCAGCCCCACCTCCTTGTGGGCCCAGAGGCTAATGAACTCCCAGGACCAACCACCTGGCCGATCCTCAGCCGACCCAGATAATTGCTATAGCAACTCCACACTTCTAATGAACTCTCAGCTATTTCTGGTGTGGGCCATTAATGGAATAACTCTTTAGATCTGACTTTGTTAAGGGGCCTAATTGAGTGAACACAGCTGCCGATCTTGCGTTCCTAGCCATCCTGAGCTGGAGGGTCAGATGCAGCCTGAGGAGGGGGCAGCTCTCAGCTGCACTGGACTGGATTTTGGTCTCAGCTGAGATGTAATCTGTCCTTGAACCAAATTCAGATAAGGACTCCACCAGGGTACCATTCCAGCCTTGCTTGGCCAGACGTCTTGCTGTGTGACCTTGAAAGTGGTCTTAACCTCTCTGGGGGCTCTCAGGAGGAGGGCCCCTGCTTTCAGGTTTGACCCATTCTGCCCCCCCCCCCACCGCCACCTGAGACTTTCTGACCTGTCCCTCTTTGGGCTCCAGTCGATTCCTCTCCTGTTTTCTTGTCAGGGAGGAGCTGCAGCCCCTCACGCTGGTCCAGCCATTATGGAGGGTCTTGCAATCCTGCATATCCCTAGCCAGTTGCTCAGGGTATACATGGTGTGGTTTGCAGCCCTGATAGTCCTTGCTCGCCAGGATCCTGAGAGCAGTAGGCCCTTTCTGGCTGCTTCCTCAGGCCCACTGCCCAAGTCCTGGCTGTGTGCCTGCCTGCCTTCCACCCACTGCCCCTGTCTCTCCTCCTCCACATGCGGGCTTCCATCTCTCTGGCCCCCAGTGTCCATCCCAGGCCCACCTGCAAATGGGTACTTGCCAACCCCCTGGCTGGACACTGACACAGTGGTGTACAGGGGAAACAGGTATGCATCTCACCCCCCAGGGGCTTAAAAGCCCCCTGGTCCTCTCAGGCCACTGACTAGTCCCTGCACTTGGCCTCTCTGCACCTTATCCCCCAGGGCCTCCAGCCGGACAGAGCATCTGTTGGCCCAACAGCACACTGGCAGGGCCTAGGTCCCTCCAGGTGTCCACCTCTGCTTCCCATGGCAGGCGAGACCAGACTGCACCAGGCCACCATTAAGGCCACTGAGAAGCCTGCTTAGGACTTGCCTTACCTTGTAGAGGGTCCTTTGGCCCTCTGGCCCCCTGGCCTGATGGAGAGACAGGACTCACGGAGCCCTGAGTGCACACGGGGAGCAGGTTGATGCAAGTGGAAGTGATCAGACGAAGCCCTGGTAGTTGGGGGTGGGGGCGGGGGTGGGTGGAGCAGAAGGGGGTCTTCAGTTCAGGGGAGAGCAGGTCCTGGAAGGGCCCGTGTGCCCTGTGCTCAGCGGCCACACCCCTCCGCCCTCTCCCCTTGGCGGGCTGGCGCTCAGGATCTGGGGAACAAGGAGGCTCCTGGGGTCAGCTACTTCTTCCCGCTGCTCTGTCCTGTCCTGCTCTAGCTTGAAGTCCGGGAGGTGCCCCACTGCTGCCCAAGAGAGAGGCTCGAGACTTCCGGGCACAGGATGCCTGATTCCTGCACCTGATTCGGCCAGTCCGACCGCTCTCTGGCCTCAGACCAGACCCTGTTTCAGCCCTTTCCAACGGGGGCCTCTGTGAGAGTGGCTGCGGGCCTCCCGCGGGCTTGCAGAGCCCGGTGCATCAGCGGCCCACGGCTCTCCATGTCTCCCCCGGCAGGCCTCTCTTCCCCCTCAGTTCTCCTCATTCTCTCTCTGGGAGGACCCTCTGGCAGAGTGAGCCATCCCCGTTTTACAGAAGAACAGACAAATTCAGGCTTGCTGAAAGTTATCCTTAGCTGGCCAAAGCCCAGGCCTCCCAGGCTCAGGCCAGGGCTGCTTCAAGTTCACCTGGATACCTCCTTCACCCCTGCAGCGAGAAACTAGCTGAGGGATGTGGTCCAGGGGCAGCTGGGGCTCAGCACCCACCAGGAGCACTCCACCAGTCGGCCCCTGGCTTTTCAGCTGGGGTTGTGTGCACGTGTGTGCGACTGATATGTGTGCATGCGTGTGTGCTGAGTACCTGGGAAGCCCCGAGGATGCTCACTGCAGCCAATTCTCTCCCTCAAGGTGGTTTCAGAGCCTTGCTGTGCCCTGGTCTAGAACAGCAATCATGTGGGAAATCTCAGTTTCTATTTATACATGGAGATGTTAGGAAAGACGGTGAGCCCAGGAGCATGTGTGCTGGCATTGGAATTGATTGGGGACTGGTAATTAATCTGTTTAGACCTTAATTAATTCTTCAGTTCTTTCTTATTTGTGGACTGTCACGCTTAATTGTGTTCAGGAGTTCGAGCTCCGAGCAGGCCCTCCATTAATTGATGTGTGGTTGCTGTGAGGTGGAAGTTAATGGTTTGGGGAGCTGGGCAAACAGTGTAATTAAAGGTCAATCGAGGAGGCATCGGAAAAATACCCCTGCCCCCAGGTCCAGCCACCAGTCTCCATGAGCGGAGTCCATTCCAGGGGAGGCAAGCTCCACAAACAGCCTTCTCGTGAGGCCTTGAGGTGGGACCTGGAGGAGTGGCAGGCAGGATGGAGTGGCAGGTCCCAGGTGCCATGATGGGGCACCAGGGAGAGGCACAGACTTATCTTGTGAGGCATGGGCAGGGCGGGGGCTATGAGCTGGAGCTGAGGGCACCGCTGGGTACCCAGGCCTGTCTGTGCATGTGGCGGTGAGGGCCGGACAGGAAGCTCTGAAGGTTGCCCCCAGGCTGCCTGGCTGGATCCACGTGCAGCAGAGGGCAAGCCATGTGTGTGCTAATAAAGAGCCCCATCTGGGCCTGAGCTCCCGGCAGGGGAGGCCTGAGCTTCAGCACCGCTGGCCAACTCCTTGCACAGGGAATAACCTTCCTTCATGGACCGGAAATGGCAGCCTCATCATCCCTTTGTGGGAAGTGACTTCACCCTGCGCTGTTGGCAGCAGTCCCTTACATTAAATGTCACAGCTCACTTCATCGCCATGAAGGAGTCTCTGTGTCCAGAAGTGAGTCTGCTCCTCGGGGTGTCTGGGCAGTCTTTGGGAGAGGTCTTCTGCTCGTTCACACCAGTGTGCCCCACCTCTGCCCCCATCTCCACGCTTCCCTTCACGCCCAGGCCATGGGTCTTCCTGGCATTGATTCCCCCTTCACTTTACCACTCTTCCCCTGGTGCTCAATCCACCCTGCTTTCTTCACCCGGGAGGTGGCCCCGGCAGTGTGCCTGAGCCTCAAGGGTCAGTCCCCGGGCCTCGCCTCCTCCACCCTTCATCCCTGTGCACCTGTGAGAGCAGAGTGCACCTGTGTCCGCTGTGTCCTGGGCCTCGTGATTTATGCTCCTTCTGACCAGGTCAGTG